TTAAATTGACCTGGGAACTGTGGCTGGTTTCTTGGAACCAGACAGAACTTGTTCGGGGAAGGTGAGATTGGGGTCTAAGACCCCTTACCTGTGTATGAGGCCTGGGGCCATCTGGGGCACGGATATTGCTGAAGTGTCGGAGGGGTTTTGCTCGCGAGGCTTCAGGCAGGCAGCTGAAGTGCTCTGTGGGACTGGTTTGTGGCCTGTTTGGAGAGGTCACCAGTCTGGGGGCTGTAAGGAGACCTGGATTTGAGCAATTTGCCCTGAGCGGACGCCCTCAGCTGTGCCCAGACACGGCACGGTCCGTCACAGTGAAATGGTGCCTAGTCAGAGCCTGCTTCCTGAATCTCTCTCCCAACCTGAACTTCCCCCTGCACACAAACTCCTTCTCTGAGCTTGCACCCTGAATCTTCTCCTGGATCCCAATTCCCCACCCATGGCTAAGCCCAGAGCCCACCCAGGCCAAACACCTTGACCCAAGACCAGAGCCTGCACCCCAACCTTCTGTCCCAGCCTGCTGCAAGTCAGTGAGGATCAAAGGGGGAAGGAGGAGTAGGATGAGGCCTTGGAGAAGGGGTGGAGCTGGGGCAGGGACTCAAAGAAGAGGCAAGAAGGAAGCGGGGCAAGGGTATTTGGGTTTGAAGTAGATCTTACATTGCACTTCAATTGAAAAAGTGATCTTGTGTTTAAAAAGGTTAGAGACCCATTCCATAAACCATTCCCTACTCCATATACCTAATATTACACGTAAGAATGATACACACACCAAAATAAGATCAACAGATCCAGCAGATCATGACATGAAGATTGATAGATTAAATGAGGTATTTTGTCCCAAGCATCCTAGAGTTATGCATATCATAGAATCATAGAATCATAGAATAATAGGACTGGAAGGGACCTCGAGAGGTCATCGAGTCCAGCCCCCCGCCCTCAAGGCAGGACCACGCTCCGTCTACACCATCCCTGACAGATGTCTATCTAACCTGTTCTTAAATATCTCCAGAGAGGGAGATTCCACCACCTCCCTTGGCAATTTATTCCAATATTTGACCACCCTGACAGTTAGGAATTTTTTCCTAATGTCCAATCTAAACCTCCCCTGCTGCACTTTAAGCCCATTACTCCTTGTCCTGTCCTCAGAAACCAAGAGGAACAAATTTTCTCCTTCCTCCTTGTGACACCCTTTTAGATATTTGAAAACCGCTATCATGTCCCCCCTTAATCTTCTTTTTTCCAAACTAAACAAGCCCAGTTCATGAAGCCTGGCTTCATAGGTCATGTTCTCTAGACCTTTAATCATTCTTGTTGCTCTTCTCTGTACCCTTTCCAATTTCTCCACATCTTTCTTGAAATGTGGCGCCCAGAACTGGACACAGTACTCCAGCTGAGGCCTAACTAGTGCAGAGTAGAGCGGCAGAATGACTTCACGAGTTTTGCTTACAACACACCTGTTGATACAACCTAGAATCATATTTGCTTTTTTTGCAACAGCATCACACTGTTGGCTCATATTCAACTTGTGGTCCACTATGACCCCTAGATCCCTTTCCGCCATGCTCCTTCCTAGACAGTCGCTTCCCATCTTGTATGTATGGAACTGATTGTTCCTTCCTAAGTGGAGCACTTTGCATTTCTCTTTATTAAACCTCATCCTGTTTACCTCTGACCATTTCTCTAACTTGCTAAGGTCATTTTGAATTATGTCCCTATCCTCCAAAGAAGTTGCAACCCCACCCAGTTTGGTATCATCTGCAAACTTAATAAGCGTACTCTCTATCCCAATATCTACGTCATTGATGAAGATATTGAACAGTACGGGTCCCAAAACAGACCCTTGAGGAACTCCACTTGTTATCCCTTTCCAGCAGGATTTAGAACTGTTAACAACAACTCTCTGACTACGGTTATCCAGCCAATTATGCACCCACCTTATCGTGGCCCTATCTAAGTTATATTTGCCTAGTTTACCAATAAGAATATCATGCGAGACCGTATCAAATGCCTTACTAAAGTCTAGGTATATGACATCCACCGCTTCTCCCTTATCCACAAGGCTCGTTATCCTATCAAAGAAAGCTATCCGATTAGTTTGGCATGACTTGTTCTTCACAAACCCATGCTGGCTATTCCCTATCACTTTATTACCTTCCAAGTGTTTGCATATGATTTCCTTAATTACCTGCTCCATTATCTTCCCTGGGACAGACGTGAAACTGACCGGTCTGTAGTTTCCTGGGCTGTTCTTATATCTGTGTCTATAGGTCCATTTAATAAAGTGCTGGATGATGTCCATCACAATTCGCACATTATCACCTAGGATCAATCAATTTCCTTCCAGTGATAAATACAGCTTTACCTAAATTAGTTACCTCAGGGTCCTGTGCTAGGGAAGGGAGGGGGAGAATGTGCACATATATTTAAATGTTACCTTTCTTTAGTGTTGAGATGTGAACCTCCTCGCTTGGGTCACTCATAGATCCGTCTGCACACACGGCCGACACCCGGAATCTGTAGGGCGTCTGTGGCATTAATCCATCAATGGTGCAGGATTCGGTTCTCTTTCCTGTCCTTCGCTCCAGCCATTTGGCTTCTCCAGCCTCCTCTGTGTATTCCACCTTGTACTCGCTTATACTGACTCCATCTCCAATGGCACATGGACTCTCCCAGGCCAGGGCCAAGGCAGATGATATTACAATTGATGCTACAGGTTTCCCAGGGGAGCTGGTAGGAGGACGCGTCTTCACTATGTCACTCACATCACTGCTCTCGCTGAGCCCTGGTTTGCTCACGGCCGCGTATTGGAACTGGTACTGGGTGTTTGGACGGAGCCTTGTGACTGTGAGTGTCTCTTGTGTGTTACTGACATTCACAGCCACCCAGTTCTCCTGCCCGACAAGTCTGTACTCTGCCTGGTAGCCGCATATCTCAGCTCTGCCATAGGCTGCCGGTTTCAGCGTGAGCTGCACACGGTCACATTGGACTCCACCAGTCAGGAGAGGAAAAGGCTTCGATGGAGGCTGGAAGTCAGTGCTGAGCAAGTCTCCATCTGCATACAGGTAAATGGAAGCACCTGGATTGGACTCGTCTGGAACAGAGGCCACTATGAACCGGGTCTTCTTGTTAGATTCATTAGCACGGGCAAAATCTGAAAAGCACTTTGCAGCTTTTCGAGCTTTTTTATATATTTCCTTGTCCTCAAACCAGGCTTTGGATTTTGGTTTCTCACTAGAAGAATTGGCTGGTGCAGGATCCTGAGTGTCCCTCATAGACTGGGTGCGAAGCCAAAGATCTAAATCTGCTAAATATGGCTCCTCGTTGTGTAAGGAGGTGAATGTAAAAGAAACAACAAAATCAAGCCCAGGGTTGAGCACTATTTTCTCTAGCTCACTCTGGGAGGGCACCACGTCTACATTGCTTAGGGCACTGAGATAGGAATTCACATAATTCATCTCTCGCTCCTTTGTGTTCAAGAATTCATTGAGTTTCTGAGTATTGAAGGGAGACAGGTTTCTGCGTGACAGAATGTCCACCAGGGCCCCTTCCTCTTCTCCTCCTCCACGGATGGACGGTAAGTGTCCTGCCAGCTCTTTCTGGAAAGTCTGTCTGTGTTGCATGCACAGACCTTTGAACTGTTGGACTTTCCTCTGGATTTCAGGGAAGGTTCTGGCAATTGGATTCTTCCCCATGTCGTTGCATCTCATGTCAAGTTCTGCCAGGTCCTCCATTGAAGTCTGAGCATCAGAAAGCAGCGTTAAGCTGATCTCACGCACCAGCCGAGCAGCTTTGGAATCCAGCTTGGTCAGCGGGTACAGCCAGACTCTCATGGCTACGGCCTTCTCCCCGTTCTCACCCAGCATCTTTGGAAGGGGGGCATAAATGTTCATGGCATCTTGGAAATTAGTTGGATTTCTCTCAAGAACAACATCACCATGGAACCTGCAGTTAAATTTGTCAGCATTTTTTTTGTCTTTTTCATCCATTTTGATTTCTGCTTTCCCTTCCAGAGAAACAAAGGGTATATTTTTAATTGCAATCTGGAGTGATCCCTCAATCTCGCGGACATTCTCAGAAGAAGAAACTTCTCGATCGAACACGAAGAAAGCCTGGGCGCCGTACAGCACAGCCGTGACCACGTGGGTGGCCGTGCCTTGGTCAAACACAGCAGGATAATAGACATTCCCTGCTCCTAATTGGCTCATGGTTAGGTGCTCAAACCTTGTTGTGGCCGAATACCGGAGAGTGACTCGGGCCTGTTGTTTGGATGTTTTGGTGTCATTTAAGTATTTGGCAGATCCACTTACTTCAATCATGCCCCCCAGGAAGCTCGCCTTGAGCGATGCCGTGACATTGAGGGCGTTGGCCTTATCCTCAATGGTGTCAGATGCGATGATCTCAAATTCAGCCCTGGGTTGTGGTTTTTTCTTTACATCCCTTTCAAGATCATTCGGGCGCCACAGAGTGATCCCTGCAATGTCAGAAAGAAGCACACGGTAATGTAGCTGATGGGTTACACAGCACACAACATCTATGCAGGGTTTAACTGTGTGTCATTTCTGAGACTGAAAAATAATGAGAAAGTAAGGTTACCAGAGGGTTCAAAAAAATACCAGACACACTTGATCTCAGGTGGATTGTGGGAAGGGAACAGCCAGGAGGGAAGCAGGGCTGGCCAGGAGGAGGTTGGGGGGAACAGGTTGACTGAGGGAGATTGGCAGGTGGAGGGAACTAGCTGGCAGACAGCAAGGCTGTCTGGGAGGAATTTAGGGGAGAGCGGGGCTGGCCGGGAAGAGGAAACAGGGAGGGGAAACTGGCCAGCGGGGAGCTGGGCTGGTCAGGAGGGAGGTGGGAGAATCATAGAACCATAGAACTGGAAGAGACCCCAGAAGGTCATCAAGTCCAGCCCCCTGCTCTAGGCAGGACCAATCCCAACTAAATCAACCCGGCCAGGGCTTTGTCAAGCTGAGACTTAAACACCTCTAGGGATGGAGACTCCACCACTTCCCAAGGGAACCCATCCCACTGCTTTACCACCCTCCTAGTGAAATGGTTTTTCCTAATATCCAACCTGGAGCTCTCCCACCGCAACATGAGACCATTGCTCCTTGTTCTGCCATCCATCACTACTGAGAACAGCCTCTCTCCAGCTTCTTTGGAACCTCCCTTCAGGAAGTTGAAGGCTGCTATCAAATCCCCCCTCACTCTTCTCTTCTGCAGACTAAACAGACCCAACTCCCTCAGCCTCTCCTCATAGGTCATGTGCTCCAGCCCCCTAATCATTTTGGTTGCCCTCTGCTGGATCTTCTCCAATGCGTCCACATCCTTTTTGTAGTGGGGGCCCCAGAACTGGACACAATACTCCAGATGTGGCCTCACCAGAGCTGAATAAAGCGGAGTAATCACATCTCTGGATCTGCTGGCAATGCTCCTCTTAATGCAACCTAATATGCCATTAGCCTTTTTGGCTACAAGGGCACACTGTTGACTCATATCCTGCTTCTCATCCACTGTAACCTCCAGGTCCTTTTCTGCAGAACTACTACTTAGCTGGTTGGTCCCCAGCCTGTAACAATGCTTGGGATTCTTCCGTCCCAAGTGCAGGACTCTGCACTTGTCCTTGTTGAACCGCATCAGATTTCTTGTGGTCCAATCCTCCAATTTGTCTAAGTCACTCTGGACCTTATCTCTTCCCTCAAGCATATCTACCTCTCCCCCTAAATGGCTGGCGGGGAACTAGCTGGTGGGGAGCGGGGCTGGCCAGGAGGGGGTTGAGGGAAGCGGGCCTAGCTGGGGGGAACCAGCTGGCGGGGAGTGGGCCTGGCCGGGATGGGGTTGTTGGGAGCTGGGCTGGCTGTGGCAGAACCAGCTGGTAGGGAGCAGGGCTGGCCGGGAGGGAGTTGGGAGGAGCAGAGCTGGCTAGGTAAGGAGCTTGGGAGGGGGAGAACCTGCCAGGAAGGAGTGGGGCTGGCTCGGGTGCATACAGACCCCAGAGTGCTGCCCGTCCCACGCACAGTCCTGGCAGGGCACATGAGTGAGTCTGGCCCCAGGCATTTCATCCCACCCTGGTCCTGGCCCCCTCCTTTCTATTGTGTAGTTGCATACTGCCTGGCTTACGCAGTATTACTCACGCAGCGTGAGCATGTCTACCAACCAACTACGGACATGCTGATACTCATAATAATAATAAAACTTACTTAATTAGAAATATCAGACATTATATATTTTCTCAATTCATTTCCTGGACAGAAATCTCAAATACTGGACTGTCTGGTTCCAAACTGGACACCTGGCAACACTATAAGCGAGGGACACCAAGTGAACTGGCCTGGTATCACACAAACATGCCTAGTCAAGACTGAACGACATGGCTAACAACTTCCTCTTACTCCTGCCTCTATACAGGAATTTGGAAGACATGATCCTGTGTGATTTATTTTGAATAAAGCCCTCTCTGCAGTGACCAAGTTCACTCCCCACGCTGGGTTCGCTGTTCCAGGGAGCAAGTGCTACACTTACAGTTGAAATGCCACGTCCATTAGAAACACCTGGCTCTTCGATTTAGGCAGCTTGGAATTGCCACATTTGACCTGATCCATGGTCTGTTCAGCCCAGTGATCTCTCTGAGAATGGCCAGCCCCAGACCCTTTGCCGGAAGGTGCATGAAACATACTTTCTGTCAAAAAAGTGGCTTGCTTTGTTGACTGAACTGGCTGTAGTCTAGACACTCTTTTTCAAAAGAGGCTTTGTCGACAGTATGGCTGTGTCCAGACTCAGGGTTTTTTTCGGAAAAAGTAGCCTTTTTCCGAAAAAACTTCACCTGCGTCTAGACTGCAGCCGCGTTCTTTCGAAATTAAATCGAAAGAACGCGGCTTTTCTTTCGACGGCGGTAAACCTCATTTCACGAGGAAGAACGCCTTCTTTCGAAAGTGCTTCTTTCGAAAGAAGGCGTTCTTGAATGTAAATAGGGCTTCTTCGAAAGAGAGCATCCAGACTCACTGGGTGCTTTCTTTCGAAAAAGCAGCTTGCTCTTTCGAAAGTTCCGCGTGCAGTCTAGACGCTCTCTTTCGAAAGAGGCTCTTTCGAAAGAGGCTTGCAGTCTAGACATAGCCTATCTGTCGACAAAGCCTCTGTTGACAAAAGCCTGTTGTCTAGACGTACCCAAAGTGTCCAATCAGCTCTTGGAATATGTGAGACACAACTTCCTGTTTTGGAAGAAGGAGAAATAAGAAGGGGGCAGCCATTTTAGACTTAATTCTGACTAAAGGGGAGGGATTGGTTGCAACTCTGAAGGTAAAAGGCAATTTTCTAATATATTGATCTTCAGGAAAGGAAAGAGTAAGAGCAGAATAAAAATAATAGATGTAAAAAACAGACTAGTAAGGTCACCGGGGGAAAAATCTGAGGAAAAAGAGTAGTCTAGGAGAGCTGACAGTTTCCTGGTAAGACAGTATTAAAGGCACAAATGCAAATTCTCCCAATGTGAAGAAAATTAGCAGGAGAACAATGTGACTACACCAGGAGCACTGTCAGAGGCAGCAGTGGGGGGGAGTAGGGGAAGGAAGGGGAGACTGACGTGAAGCATCCTCTGTCCATGGGGGTCCACATTCCCAATAGACAGGGGTTGCTCCGGCATCTCAGGGAGCAGCCTCTGTGTGTGGGGAGTTTAGACCCCTGCAGACAGGGGGTGCTGCCACACGCACTGCTCCCTCTGTATTAGAACAGCAGCATGGGGCGACAGGCAGCCGTTCTGTGTGGGGAGCTGGTTTTAAAACTGGTTCCCCTTCTGACCAGCTCTGCTTTCTACCCTGCAGCAAGGGGTTGTCTGGGGTCTCCCTGGGAATGGGGCCAGGAGCAATTACCTGCTGCCCTGCCCCCAGGGACTATCAAATAGTTCTGTACCCACTAAGATTTGATGCTGTTACTCGACTGTTCTCTTACCTGATGGCTAACATGCCTCACAATGACTGCTCTTCGTAACCTGAGCCACAGGGAAGATGCAATCAGGTAACACAGGCTGGAGGAGAAGCAATGGGTGTGTTAGGGGCCAGGCCGCTGGAAGCAAATCAGTCTTGGCTGGCTGGGGGTTCAGAGCAATGGCTCCCCTCCCCCTGAAGATGGACTTTACTGAGTGCTCCGGATTTCTGGGCTCCCAAGCTCTGCTCTGCTCTGCTCTGCTCTGTGTCCCTGTCGACTAACAAACCTGCCATTTGACATGCTGCCTGAGTTCCTGCTGGCTGCAGAACTGGGCACAGCCCTCTGGCTCCCCAGGGCCCTGCCTCGGCAGACTCACTGCGGGACGCGCAGTGTAGAGAAGGTTGCTGGGTGCTCTGAGGTGAGACCAAGGAGGCTGCGTAAGGTTCTTGCCCTGGGGACAGCACGCTCTGAGTGAGGAGGGGCTGCCCCGAGTCCTGATAGAGGAGTCAGTTCTGGAGTGTTTTCCCCACAAATCCATGACAGTTACAGCACAGGAAAGATGTGGACAAGTTGGAGAGTCCATAGCAGAGCAACAAAACCGATCAATGGTTTAGAGTCCATAGCAGAGCAACAAAACCGATCAATGGTTTAGAGTCCATAGCAGAGCAACAAAACCGATCAATGGTTTAGAGTCCATAGCAGAGCAACAAAACCGATCAATGGTTTAGAGTCCATAGCAGAGCAACAAAACCGATCAATGGTTTAGAGTCCATAGCAGAGCAACAAAACCGATCAATGGTTTAGAGTCCATAGCAGAGCAACAAAACCGATCAATGGTTTAGAGTCCATAGCAGAGCAACAAAACCGATCAATGGTTTAGAGTCCATAGCAGAGCAACAAAACCGATCAATGGTTTAGAGTCCATAGCAGAGCAACAAAACCGATCAATGGTTTAGAGTCCATAGCAGAGCAACAAAACCGATCAATGGTTTAGAGTCCATAGCAGAGCAACAAAACCGATCAATGGTTTAGAGTCCATAGCAGAGCAACAAAACCGATCAATGGTTTAGAGTCCATAGCAGAGCAACAAAACCGATCAATGGTTTAGAGTCCATAGCAGAGCAACAAAACCGATCAATGGTTTAGAGTCCATAGCAGAGCAACAAAACCGATCAATGGTTTAGAGTCCATAGCAGAGCAACAAAACCGATCAATGGTTTAGAGTCCATAGCAGAGCAACAAAACCGATCAATGGTTTAGAGTCCATAGCAGAGCAACAAAACCGATCAATGGTTTAGAGTCCATAGCAGAGCAACAAAACCGATCAATGGTTTAGAGTCCATAGCAGAGCAACAAAACCGATCAATGGTTTAGAGTCCATAGCAGAGCAACAAAACCGATCAATGGTTTAGAGTCCATAGCAGAGCAACAAAACCGATCAATGGTTTAGAGTCCATAGCAGAGCAACAAAACCGATCAATGGTTTAGAGTCCATAGCAGAGCAACAAAACCGATCAATGGTTTAGAGTCCATAGCAGAGCAACAAAACCGATCAATGGTTTAGAGTCCATAGCAGAGCAACAAAACCGATCAATGGTTTAGAGTCCATAGCAGAGCAACAAAACCGATCAATGGTTTAGAGTCCATAGCAGAGCAACAAAACCGATCAATGGTTTAGAGTCCATAGCAGAGCAACAAAACCGATCAATGATTTTTCACCTTTGAGCAGAGGTGGAAAACCAGGAATGGTCAGTCCAAAGAGAAAACGACCGAGGAGAGCCCTGATAACAGTCTTCACATTGGTCACAGGCTGTTAAAAAGGGGAGGGTGAACTGTTCTTTGTCCCTGCTGAATGGGGAGGGAAGCGGGAGAACAAAAAGTAACCCTGGTACAGGTGTCCAAGGGAAGTTGTGGAATCCCCGTCACTGGAGGTTTTGAAGTTCAACAAACACCTGCCAAAGGTGGTCCTGGTGCATCTATTCCTTCCTCGGTGCAGGTAGCGGGACTAGATCCCCTCCCCAAGTCCCTACCAGCCCTACATCTCTGATTCAACTAGCTGGGGGCAGACACTTCCTCATGCTCATCACATCACTTTAAGTGTATTTCCTTTGTTCACATTAGCTGCATTTTAAATTCATTGAGGACCCTTTGTTCTATGAGAGAGTAAATCGGTGCCATGCTGCCCCACTCGTTGTTCTGCCACCCGGTAGCATATCCCCCCACTTCTCTCTCTAGGAAATGTTCTATCTTGTGACTCCTGCATCTGTGAAATCCTCTCCAGGCTGCAGCCAGTCTCATCACCAGTCTCTGCCCCTCCACTTCTGCCCCATGCTCTGTGATGGGCTGGCCAGCACTGGTGCAGCTTCCTGGGGAAGGTGGATGGAAGCAGGATTTGCACAAGCTCTCCACTATCACTCGCAGGGGAGGGGCAAAGGCTTCAGGACCAGGCTGTGTCCATGAACACACCCACTCTGCCTCGGGCGCCAGCAGACTGAGCTGGGTGGCCCAAGGGATCCATTTGGCTGGTGTGGGACACAAATCACTTTGTATTGAATGCAGGGGCAGTGACATGGGCTTATCCTCATGGCCTGCGGGAAGGGGAGCAGGACGGTGCTCAGCCTGTGCTGCCTGAGGGTCGTCACCCTCCACAGAACAGAACTTGCTATTCCGGGGGTGTCAGATGCCAGCCGCCTGCGACAGTCCGAGGGGACAGGTGTCCTGCTTGAGGGGATGCTGCCCAAGGGTGCAGGCCATGTCTTAACCCGCTCACAGACAGGGCCAAGCAGGCACCATGTGGAATCTCTTGTGTTGTTCAGGGATCACTAGCTCTGAAATCACCGTTGTGGGGCCGTGGTCCTGCCCAGCCTGACAGTCACTGGGAGCTGGAGGAACCTGCAGAGACCGACCTGCAGGGCTCACAGGGAAGAGGCAGATGCAGCAGAAGTGATGTTGTGAACTGATGGGGGCTGCCAGGTCAGGTGATGGAGCAAAGGGGGAGGGGCCGGCAGGGCCACCAAGGGAGCAGAAGGGGAGGGGCTGGAAGGGCAGCTGAGGGAGCAGAGCGGTCAGTGATTGCTTGAGCATGCAGGGGAGTTATCAGGAAGGCAAAAGCACAATTAAAATTGCAGCTAGTAAGGGATGTGAGGGGTAACAAGAAAGGTTTCTACAGGCAAATTAGCAATAAGAGGATGATCGGAGAGGGGGTAGGGCCCTTACTGGATGCGGGAGGTAACCGAGTGACAGATGATGTGGGGAAAGCTGAAGTACTCAAGGCTTTCTTTGCCTCTGTCTTCACCAATAAGGTCAGCTCCCAGACTACTGCACTAGGCAACGTAGTATGGGAAGGAGGCAGGCAGCCCGTGGTGGAGTAAGAGTAGTTTAAGGGCTATGTCTAAACTACACCATCTATCGTCAGAGGCATGTAAATTAGATGTATCAAAAGTGCAAATGAAGCTGTGATTTAAAAATCCTGTGCTTCATTTCCATAATGGTGGCCGCCACTTTTTTCCAAAATGGGGCTTTTTGAAAAAAATTGGCAGTTTAGACAGGGCATTTTCGACAGCAATGCCATTTTCAAATATCCTGTAGGAGGATAGACTCTTTCGAGATGGGGCATTGCTGTCGAAAATGCGCCATTTAAACTGCCAGTTTTTTTCAGAAAGCCCCATTTCAGAAAAAAGTGGTGGCCATAATTATGGAAATGAAGCACAGGATTTTTAAATCACAGCTTCATTTGCACTCGATACATCTAATTTCCATCCCTCTGACGACAGACAGGTGTGATTTAGGTGTAGCAAAGGACTATTCAGAAAAGCTAGACATACACAAATTCATGGGTCAAGATTTAATGCATCCATGTGTACTGAGAGAGTTGGCAAATGTCATTGCAGAGCCTTTGGCCATTATCTTTGAAAATTTGTAGAGATCCTGAGAGATCCTGCATGACTGGAAAAAGGCAAATGTAGTGCCCATCTTTAAAAAAGGGAAGAAGGACGATCCAGGGAACTACAGACCAGTCAGCCTTACCTCAGTCCCTGGAAAAATCGTGGAGGGGATCCTGAAGGAATCCATGTTGAGGCACTTGGGAGAGGGGGAAGTGATCAGGAATAGTCAACATGGATTCACAAAGGGCAAGTCATACCTGAGTAATCTGATTAGCTTCTATTATGAGGACATGGGGAACTCAGCGGATGTGATGTACTTTGACTTTAGCAGAGCTCTTGATACAGTCTCTTGCCACCAAGGTACGGAAGAATGAATTGGATGAAGGTGGATAGAAAGCTATCTAGACTGTCGGGCCCAATGGGTAGTTATCAATGGCTTGATGTCAGTTTGGTGATCAGTTTCAAACAGAGTGCCCTAAGGATTGGCTCTAGGGCCAGTTTTGTTCAACTTTTCTATTAATGATCTGGATGAGGGGATGGATTGCACCCTCAGCAAGTTTACAGATGACAATAAGATGGGGGGAGAGGTAGATAGCAGCCTTCAACGGTATGAAGGGAAATTTCAGAGAGGATAGAGAGAAGCTGTTCCCAGCGGTGACAGATGGCAAAACAAGGAGCAATGGTCACAAATTACATTGATGTCTTAGTTGGATATTAGGAAAAATTATTTCCCTAGGAGGGTGGGAAAGCACTGGGATGGGGAGGAATCTCCATCCCTAGAGGTGTTTAAGTCTCAGCTTGACAGCCCTGGCTGGGCTGATTGAGTTGGGATTGGTTCTGCTTTGGGCAGGGGGCTGGACTCAATAACCCCGGAGGTCTCTTCTAGCCCCAAGATTCTGTGATTCTACGAATTGTCTCCCAGTGGTGCCCAGGGTGAGGTGTAATTGTCCAAAGTCACTGGCTGGGGGCTGGAGCCGGTTCTGTGCTGCACTGTTGAACATGCACCCCTAGATATTGAGCCCAGCCCTGCTTGCTGCTGGCTCCACCTGGCAGGGGGTTACATACAGTGCCCTTGGGGTCGTTTGGTGGCATTTCCATCCCATTCCTCCTGCCCCTCGCACCCTGGCTTGGGCTGCCCCCGCACAGAGCGGGTGTTTGCACTGAGCTGGGCACAGCCTGGCCCAGGCCTTTCCTGGGGGTTACCATTGCTGTGGAGCACCAGGAGGTGTGTGCGTAGCTGGAGCTATTCCTTCCAATGCCTCCCAGTGAGCCCCAATGTGCTGGGTGCAGAGAGGGGCCTTTCCAATGAGACCTGCCCCCTCGTACAGGGAAATGGGGAGGTAGGAGCCAGGTCTGTGGCTCTGCCCCTTTTCCTAGCCTGACAGCGCTGCCAGGGCACTGCATTGATGCTGCCATGGCCGGGGAGCCGATGGGCAGTTTCCCTTTTCTCCTAGTGCCCTGAGAAGGGCCAGCTCTGCAGGGCCCGTTCCTCCCCAGCGACAGGTACCTGGGATGAGGGCGTCCGTGCGGCAGTCGTACAGCATCCCCAGCTGGAAGGGGCGGCCCAGGGCCGGCATCTCAATCGTGTCTCCTGACCCGGCCATCGTTCAGCACCCAGACGCTCGCTCCTCTCTCTGGCCTGCGAGAAATAGGTTGGACGTTAGGAAAAACTTCCTACCTGTCAGGGGGGGTTAATCACTGGAATGAACTGCCCAGGGGGCTGTAGAATCTCCAACCCTGCAGATATTGAAGAGCAGGTTGAAAAGTCAGGGATGGGCTGGATCAGGGTTGGGGAACCTTTTCTGGGTCGGGGGCTGCTGACCCACAGGAAACTCAGTTGAGGGCCACACAGAAGTGAGAAGCAGAAAAAAAACCCCAGCGTGGCCCCAACAGAGAAGCAGAACGACCCTCCCCACATTCCCCTCGCACACCAGACCCTAGATTTTCTGTGCTGCAGCCCCACAGGCAGGCAGCAGGGGGACTGGAGCACCAGCGCAGACTCCCCAGTGTTGGGGGGCGGAGGGGCTGAGCCTTGGGTGCTCCCTCACCTCCCTACTGGGGAGCCCACAGAGAGAGATTCAGGAGTCTGTTACTATCTCCCCTAAGAGGAATGGCCGTTGAGCTCCAGGCTCTGTTCGTAGCTCTAGAAATACCCGATTCATTCCCAGAAGGTGACCCAGGCCAGGTTCTCCTTCCCCTTGGGTTCCCTGACTCTGCCCACTAGACATTCTTCTCCCAGCTCCCACAAACGAATCCAGAATCCTGGCACCAACGCCCTAGTGCGAGCCCACAGCTAGTAGTGCAACCCTGTGGGGCTAGGACCTGCCATCAGCTTACTCCTGGTGGAGTGAAAACGTTCTGTGCTGCAGAACCAGGGCAAGGCTGAGGGCTCAGACCTGGCTGGGGCAATCCATGCATCCAGGGGAGAGCCTGCAATGACCAGGGAGATCCTGTCGCATGCAAAATGATTTCAGATGCATTCGGAGGGTGTGTGAACAGGTGCCATTGGTTCAGTGTTTGCGTTGGGAGGAGAGCTGTCTCTGGACGCATGGAGGGGGCTCAGGGCACCAGACCCTGCCCCTACAAACTCCAACATGGTCTGAACTTGGCTTAATAAACACACATTGCCAGAAAACCAAGCTAGTTCCAAAGCGTCACATTAGCGCTCATCAGGAACCTGGCTGCTCAGGCCATGGAGCTAAAGGCCTTTTGTCCCACTGGTATGAACCAGACTCACTCAGGAGGAGTTAGAAGTTGTTCCAGTCCCATGGATATTTGGGGCCTGGGTTTGGGGTGTCCCATTCCAGCTCCCCTGCCACAGGCTCAGCCCCGCACTGTCCCCTGAGGAGCAGGAACAGCAGCAGGGCCAAGAACTGCCTGGGCCAGGGGATGGAAGCCCTGTGACCTCTAGCACAGTGATCACCAACCAGGAGATTGGAACCTTCCGGTAGTTCGTGGACCCTCTGACAGGGGATCCTGACTGGTTTGGCCGGGAAGTTCTCAAGCGCTGGCACTTCCATTGCCCCTCCAACCACTGTCATGCTGCTCCTGCCCTCTGCCTTGGAGCTACTCCCCGGGAGCCTCCTGCTTTCTGGGCAGAGTGTGGGAGGGAGAAAAGGGGGACATGGATGTTGGGGTGTCCCTTCTGTCATGTTATTGGATTTTAAAGGGAGAAGCCAAATCACTGAGGCACCCATGAAAACTCCAACATGGTCTGAACTTGGCTTAATAAACACACATTGCCAGAAAACCAAGCTAGTTCCAAAGCGTCACATTAGCGCTCATCAGGAACCTGGCTGCTCAGGCCATGGAGCTAAAGGCCTTTTGTCCGCAGCTACAGTCACTGGCATGAACCAGACTCACTCAGGAGGTGAGACAGCAGATCTAGAGAAGTCATTATTCCCCTTTATTGGGCTCTGGTGAGGCCACATCTGGAGTACTGTGTCCAGTTCTGGGCCTCTCACTATAGAAAGGATGTGGACCCATTGGATAAAGTCCAGCGGAGGGCAACAGAATGCTTAGGGGGCTGGAGCACATGACCTACGAGGAGAGGCTGAGGGATTTGGGTCTGTTTAGTCTGCAGAAGAGAAGAGTGAGGGGGGATTTGAGAGCAGCCTGCAACTTCCTGAAGGAGGGTTCCAAAGAGGCTGGAGAGAGGCTGGTTTCAGCCATGACGGGTGGCAGAATGAGGAGCAATGGTCTCAAGGTGCAGTGGGGGAGGTGTAGGTTGGATATTAGGACAAACTATTTCCCTAGGAGGGTGGGAAGCACTGGGCTGGGTTCCCTAGGGAGGGGGTGGAATCTCCATCCCTAGAGGTGTTTAAGTCCCAGCTGAACAAAGCCCTGGCTAGAATGATGTAGTCAGGGTCAGTCCTGCTTTGGGCAGGGGGCTGGACTCAGTGACCCCTGAGGTCTCTGCCAGCCCTGGGATTCTATGATTCTAGGATTCAGAGAAAACCTGAGTCCTATAGGTTCAGAAACAATAATGTAAATAAATCACCATTGTACGGTCTCATGATTGTAGAGCCGATTTCGCAGTGGGGAGGCCGTGGGTTCTGAACGCCCGGGGGCGCTGACACCACTTCAGAGCAGCACAAACAGGAACAGAGTTTCGTGTCTTTCAAGGAGGTTGCAGAAATCTCAGCGAAATCTCTGACTTCAGTGAATTCTGCACTAGCTGCTGTGGCCGACCCCAGGGCTGCCCAGGCCTGGCCCCAGATCGAGCTGCTCAGATGGCCACAGGGATGGACACGTCCGTTGCTGCTGGAGCGGTTCTGCAGCCAAGTGCACTGGTGGCCCTGCAGCCATCTCTGCCCTCTGCTCCCGCAGCCGCTCTTAGGAGCTGGCCCAAGGGGGTGCCTGAGCGATGGCTCCTGAGCCTCCAGCAGCAGTGACTTCCCCAACAGTGACACCCACTGCCCTTCCCCTCCTCCCTCCCCCTCCCCCGACGCTTAGTCAGGGCTGTTCAAAGTCCTGACAGGTCATGGGCTGGGGATTTGTGCCTGGTGTCTCTGATCTGTCCCTGACTTTTACTCATGTAACCCCCATTTTCCTTCCTGGGTCCTTGAGAGTAGGTCACACTCACAGGCGTGCCTGGGCACCTGATGGTTTTAACATAGAAGGAGATCCTGAGTACCCCAGTGGTGATGTTGTTTAGTTGGGGAATCCCTATCCAGCCCCTTGCTCATAAAGAACATACAATGGCAGTGCCTCCACCTGGCATGCCCTGTACACACTTAATGGTGTGCCTTGGGAGCCTCCAGGAATAAAATTATTCCAGTAATAATCTGGATCTAACCCCTGGACAAATGATTATAAATAATATACATCTAACTGCTTACATTAAAATTAACCCACCTTCATATAACAACTTAAAGAAACAGGGTTTAACAGATTAACAGTGAATAACATCAATTAACAAAGTACACAGAAGTAATAGGAACTGATCTAGCTGCATTTGCACTGCCACCGTTTATCCCACCCCAGAGTGTGCACTCCTCTGGATTCGGAGTCCAGACACTTGAAGATCTCCTGCTGGAGTGGATATTCTCTGTAGGTTGTGCGTGGGTGAGCCCAAGCTGTGCAGCCAGCTGCAAACTCCCTCTGCCACTGGAGCCAGCATTTCATCAAATGCCAGGAGCTCTAGTTCTCTGGGCTGGCCACTCTGCCTCTCTTTGGACCTAGAGTTAGTCAGTATCTCTGAGGTCTGTCCCAGGCAGCACTTTCCCAAAGAGCCCAGTTACTTACAGCCCGCTCCTGTGTGCTGGTTGTGGTGTATCCTTCTGAGCCACAGGCACAGCCAGACTTTCTCTCCAATAGGGCTGCCCCAGAAGCAGCCTGCTCGATCTAAGTCCCAAAGGCTCTCAGTCCCAGGCTGTAGCTGCAACACAACAGCTCCTGGACTGGATAAGGCTCCTTCACAGCAGCCTGGCTCCTCTGTCCCAAAAATGGAGAGCCCCCAGGCTCCTGAGACCCTCTCTCCACATGCCTGGACAAGCCTTCCCTTCCTGGTTTCCTCAAGGGCTCATGGGAGTTGTAGTCTGTAGGGCTAGATTTCAGCACACAGATCCTCCCAGAAAAAGCCAGAGGCACCTTTAGTAAGGGGATTACACTAAAAATATCTGTGACTTAATTACAGCCTGACCTGTCACATGTCAGAAATGTACTGACCGGTGTTCAAGTTATCTGCCTCAGTGTGTCACTTGGTGCATGGTGTGACAGACCGGGCCGGGTCTGGGCACAGCTGAGGGCATCCGCTCAGGGAGAATTGCTCAAACTTGGGACCTTCCCAAACTGGCCATACACCAGTCACACCGAGCCCTCCAGCTTCCTATCCAGCCAGCCTGAAGCCTCATGAGCAAAACCCTCTGATACCCCAGTTCTTCCTGTGCCGCAATCAGCCCTGGGCCTGCACACAGATGAGAGGTTTTAGAACCCAATCTCACCTACCCCGAACAGGTTCTTCCTGTCCCCAGAAACCAGCCACAGGTCCCAATCAATTTACACTTTGGATCTTATGCACAAGACCACTCTGGGCCAATCCTTTAGAAGCTAAAATCCAAAGGTTTATTAATAAAAGAAAGGAAATCATGAGAATAAGGAGAATACATTACATGCATCGAATCACCAAGTTCTCAATGCAGGCTCTCAGCAGAGATGTTATAAACTGCTATTTTAAAAGTCTCTGGTGTACATCCTATGTCAGGATGGGTCCACAGTTCTTTCTGGCTCATGGTTCCCTGCAAGGCTACACGAAAAGCTTCCGGAATAATGTATCCCACTCAGGACTACACACAAACCTTCAATCTCTATTAAATAGCAGACAGAAGTGTCACCAGGAAAAGAACAATCTAACAAACAAAAACTTCCAATGTTTGCAGAGGCCAATAGCTTCCATTCTGACAAAACGACTTACTTGAATCCTTACCTGGATCAGTCCCTTGACTCTAATCATAAAACTTCAGCAGGCGAGTTCAGGAAACTTTGCTGCTTTCTCCAGGAGCTTGGCACAGAATCTTCAGCAAACCTGAAAGTGAAACAATCATCACGTGACACCCATACCCGCCTCCACTAGCACCGGGTTGTTGCATTTCTGGGAAAGCTTTCAGACACAGAACATCCCTGTCCTAGAGGCCAAAGGCCCCTATACTCCAAACCAGGTCACTTTTGCAGGGACACAATTTCTAGGGAGATAAAAGCAATTTCTAGATAAAAAGGATCTAGAGCTAACAGCCCTGTTTGAAGAGGAGCACACTCTAGAATGTGTTTACAAAACTGATTTTTGAAAGAAGGGGGTTTGGGCTGAAAAATGTGCATTTGGGTCACTGAAACATTGTGTGAACTCACCTTGAATTGGTCAAATTGTTTCAGCTGGATTTTTTTCAAACTAGTCAAAACTTTTTGATTCAAAATAACTTTTCCTTTCAAAAACAACAAGGAGGCCTGTGGCACCTTATACACGGAGGTCTGTCTACACTACACCGTTAATTCAAACTAACTTAATTCAAATTAGTTAATTAAAATTAAGATACATCGAATGCAGTTTAAGCCCATTGCTTCTTGTCCTGTCCTCAGAGGCCAAGATGTACAAGTTTTCTCCCTCCTCCTTCTAATCACACCAGTTCCAGCAGGGCATCAGGTCAGTAGTTGCTTTGTGTGGCTGCTGAGGCCAACTGAGGCTCGTGCTTAAAGGGACCCCCCTGGACCGCTGGTTCTCAGCTTTTTCGCTTGCTTGCCAACCTCGCCGAGGGACAGCAAAGCGTCTTCCTCTCTGCCTGTCTGTTTTGGTCGTTCTCATTGGGAACACTGAAGCACTCGGCACCATGGAGCCAGAGCTGCACCTGGGCATTCTAATGTAGTTTTTGGATTTGTTACTGCAAGCCTGGCACCAATGGCTGGAGGCTGCCTGGCATCAGCTAGTGCACATCAGTCTCCTGCCCCTTTCCCTGGACTCCCTGGGGGCCATAGAAGAGCCAGTGCGGGAGAGAGAGAGGACTTCTTCACTGCATGTGCCAGGTCCCAGGGGCCTCACGCGTGGATCCTGAGCTGTTTCACATAACAGCACTAATACAGACAGGGGACAAAGACAAGATGAGTTTTGGTAACTGCAGGGTCTGATTCCCTTCCGGGAGCTCGGCGAGTGGCTCGCCCCTGCTCTGCAGCGATGGGACACTCGCATGAGGCCCGTCATTCCCCTCCACAAGTGGGTGGCTATCGCCCTATGGAAGCTCTCCCCGCCGGACAGCTACCAATCCATCGGGAACCAGTTCGGCGTGGGGAAATCCACCATCAGAGCAGTGCTCATAGAGGTATGGCACTCACTGGCCACTGGAGCGGCAGGGGGAGGAGGGCTGCAAGGAGGAGATGGGCTGCCCGAGGGAAAATGGGGGGGAGGAGGCAAAAGTCCCCTGCACTGGAGGGTTTGGTCTGTCCCGACTGTACTATACACCGCTCTCGGCAGCCAGGATCACAGCGGGGGTTGCTTCTGGGATTGGGGTGTGGTGCAGTGACAGGGAACGAACACCCCAGCCATCTGGGCACCCTAGTGATTCTCAGTTTCGTGTGTCTCTCTGCAGGTGGTCAAGGCCATCAACCGGGTGCTGCTCCGCATGGTCATCTGCCTCATCGACCTGGACCTGGTCATCCAGGGGTTCAGTGCCTTGGGCTTCCCCAACTGCGGAGGGGGGGCAATCAATGGGACGCACATCCCTATCCGTGCCCTGGAACACCAGGCCTCCTGTATATAAACTGGAAGAGCTACTTCTCGGTGCTCCTGCAGGCCGTGTCTGACCACCGGGGCCAGATCATGGACATCAATGTGCGCTGGTCTGGCAAGGTACACAACACCAGGGTGTTCCACAACTCATCTGTGTGCCAGAGGCTGCACGCCAGGACTTTCTTCCCCAACCGCCACATCAGGGTCAGGGACGTGGACATGCCCGTCTGCTTGGTAG